GGCCATTTATTAGAACTTCAAGGAATAGAAAGTTTTTCTAGAGCCAGAGAATACTACGAACGAGCACTAAGTTTATATGAAAATAAAGTATTTCCACGTGATGAGATTAATCTGTCTTTGTGTCACGTTATTATTGGTAATTGTTATTTTAATCGTGGTGGTGATCAAATGGCATGTAAAAATTACTTAAAATCATTAAATTCATATGAACAATTATTTGTTCGTTACCCGTCAATAGAGGTACGGGTGGTGTATATATTTTTGCGGCGTGAGAGAAACTGAAAGACAAACACGAGAAAGAAAATGTATGCCTCGATTGGGAATCGAACCCAGTGACATCAGTTGTCTAGGCCAATGTCCCTGAGCTACGAAGCACAGTCTAATCATACATTTCCTTTCAAATGCATGACATTAACTCTCAGTTTCTTGAACTGACAGCATCCCTCATGAACGACGAGGTACTGCACCTCTTAGGGAGAGCTTTTTATCCTCTTTGCGAGGACTTGAAAGTGCCTATTTTTTGTGCCGCTGTAAAATCATTCACTCGAAAGGAAGTGTATAATTAGACTGTGCTTCGTAGCTCAGGGTATGAGCATTGACCTAGACAACCGATGTCACTAGGTTCAATTTCCGGTCAAAGCATACATTTTCTTTCTCGTGTTTGTCTCTCAGTTTCTCTCACACCGCAAAAATATGTGCACTAATTGACGTTCTGTTTCTCTTTCCAAGGTACGATTAGTTATTGTTGGTTGTCTATTTAAAATTGGTATGACTTATTTTGAAAAGTTATTTGATTTAATATTCACCACAAATAACATCATTACTTTCAGTGTATTATTGTAATGATCATGATTGAAAATTGCATCAGATAGTAAAATAAAGTTGTATTTCTCTTCAAACAATGATGATGCGATTTGTGAACGACTTCTTATACAAATGCTAAAGAATATTTTCAACGTATTATCCAATTTTATTCGGTAGATGAATGCCCGTTCGATAGTTATGGTTTGGCACATATATATCTTGGACAAATTATATATAATACAAATTAAAATTATAATCAAGCATTAAAACAATTACATTCAGCAGAAAAATTTTATGAAACAAAAATTAAAGATGATTCAAAATTAGCAGAATGTTCTAGCTTTATTAGTATGAGTTATTTTAAACTAGAAAAATATCATGAGGCGTTAGATTATGCATTGAAAACAATCAAATTATTATTACAACCGAAAGAGTCAACAACAAATACAGAGCAATTAACAACAAATAATTTATCGTTTTTAAAACAACAAACTGGTTTGATGCAAAAAGATGTGAAGCAATCCACTCTTGTGGGTGATCAAAAAGTTATTTCAGAAACATACAGGTTTATAAAAATATTGTCTAACGGGTGACGAGAAATAATGACATACTTTTACAACTTATTTTCATGCATTTAACTGAGATTCTAACGCTTCATTCTCGGCTTATTCGATAGAGAATTTTTTGCTCTACAAAATCTATTACCATCTTTCATTACATATTATTTTATTATCTAAAAAGATAGTGTAGAGTAAGGACATGTAAAAAGTGTAACTGCAGCGAAAGAAAGAACTTGTATTTTTTTTTGTATTCTACGTAATTAATTCTTTAATAATGTTCCTGTTAGCTCTTTATTATTGCTACTATGAGTAAAGAAGGTGGTGTTTCATCCAGATCCCTCATTTTTTACAAGGCTTTCGTGATCCGAAAGCCCTGCAAATTGACTTTTCACAGGGCTTTCGTAACACTATTACTCGGGTCATATCCTCTCTATGAGATAGTCAGTCACCAGGATCCCTAACCGGGCTTTCGTAACGAATGTTTCTTCTTATTGTAAATGAAAGAGAAAACAGATAGAAACAGTGAGAGTGAATAAGTACAACCACATATAATTTCAACTTGAAAAGTAAATACACACTTCGTCACAAAAGCCCTGTAAATGCCTGTTATGAAAGTCCTGTTAGAGGACATTAATCTTCAACTATTTTACCGTAAAAAGTACACAGACTTCGTTGCGAAAGCCTCTTTAAATAGTGTTACGGAAGCCCTGTCATAGCATCTACTTAGACATTAATCTTTTTGTATTATCTTTACAAAAGCCCGTTAAAAAGTGTTATGAAAGCCCTGTTTATTTAAATTTATGTCTTTTTAACGTGTTTAAGCCTTACTTTTTACCGGGCTTGCGTAATACTAGGGATCTGGATGAAATCTAACCGTAAAGAAATCTTCATGACTTAATTAAGGCGCACGTAATTCGAAATTTAAGCACTATTTTATTTTTGACTTTAACAGATATATTCTGATAGAGGAATGCGAGCTAAATCCGAATAACACATTCTTTTTGCTTTATGATCTTTCTTTCTTGATGAAAATCGTAAAATACGAAAAGGGTGCTCTAAACGGAAAAATGGCTCGAGTTCTATCCCGTCTGATTCTGAAGCTTTGAAACCTTTTTTTCCGATTTAGCGTCACAAAGTGAATATAAAAATGTGGTTTTGAAGTTCAGCACATCTCTTTTAGAGTTCGAAAAAAAATTCGTTCCTGCGAGGATCCAAAAACGATTTCCTTCGCTCAAAAAAGCATCAAGTCTTTTACCTTAAGAGATGAAGTCTTGAATTTTATGCCATTCGAACCGCCGTAAAGCGGAGAACACAGTTACAGCTTCAGAGTTTTCATTTTTTCCTTTCCTGTTGAGAAATTTCACTATTTCTAAACCAGGAGCGAAAAAACCGAAATTGTACCCGTAGTTCTCAATTTTCTCCATCAGAACTCATCTTTTATGCAATAAAAGTATCATATTCGGAGTCAGCGTCCAAAACTGAGTGGAATGGTATCTGTTTTGAAAGTTTTTGTTGATTTTCACTTTTGGGCGAAAATCGCAGTAATTTTTCAACCTGAAAATTCGAAAAAAACAAAAATAGTCGGATAGGATACAAAAAGTATATCATTCGTCTCATAAAGCAAAAAGAATATGTTATTCGGATTTAGCTCGCATTCCTCTATCAGAATATGTCTGTTAAAGTCAAAAATAAAATAGTGCTTAATTTTGTATTACGTGCGCCTTAATTTCCATGGAAAAATAATATTTTTCCTAACATTTAACCGCTAACAACAGATGATCTTAAGATTATGAGGTTTTTGATGTACCTATTTTTATCTGTATATCGTATAGTTTCATGAATTCGTTCTGACTTCAGAAGATAAAAGATTTTTTGCTCTACAAAACCTCCTGTATCGCACACTTATACAACGTCATTCGACTAGCTCTTTTCCTGCTTTTTTCAAAATCTCACGTGACAGAAAAGCAGCGTAGTCTGGATGATAGCACCCAGTCCTCTGGACATTGATATATCACTTCCTTCTCTCAGTTACCATATCAATTCTTAAAAACTTATACAAAAGCCGAAAAGCCATCAAAATTTTGATGGTAAGTCGCAGTTTCACATTTTATGTATTCTCACTCTACACTATCTTTTTAGATAATAAAATAAATAATATGTAATGAAAGGTGGTAATGGACTTTGTAGAACAGCAAATTTTCTATCGAATGAGCCTAGAAGGCGGTCTTAGAATCTCAGTTAAGTGTCCGAAAATAAAATACAAATATGTGTCATTATTTCTGGGCCGCCCGCCAGATGACTAAATTCATTCAATTCTTTACATTTGAGAATAGATTCATTGGTGATATATATGAAAAATTAGATAAAAATGAACAGGCTATATCAAATTATGAAGATTCGTTGAAAATAAGTGAAAATCTTACTCCGATATACCAATCTGAAACCGTAATCACATACACAAAATTAGCACAAATTTATCGAAAAATGAATTGTCGTGATGGTGAAGCAATGAATTATTATACAAAAGCACTAAAACTATTGAGAAGACTCTATTTAACAATCGATGGATAAATGTCTGCAAATAACTTTATTTTTAACGTCAATTATATATGAGGTTAAAAGAAAATGGAAAGACAATTTATAACACTGAAAAATCAGATAATGAGACGTTCAAAACGGCAGCACCTGGTCGTGGATGGATTCGTTTTTTATTGAATATTATCAAAACAGTTTTTCCTATCTCTTCGTACATACAACGATGTGTTTCAATCCAATTCAGCGGGGCCCCCCCCGCCCCGGGGGGGGGGAGGGGGGTTGGGGGGGGGGGGGGGGGGGGGGGGNCCCCCCCCCCCTCCCGCGTCAGAAAAAAAACTTTTTTGTCTTACATCCGATTCTGACCAGACTTTCAGCAATTGTTTGCCATATCAAAGTGTGATTATGAAATTTTTTGCCTTTCTATCTCTTACCATTCCGGAATTTTCCAGAGTCCAAGGTCATGAACCCACCCTCCACTGTGGAACACTTCTTTTAAATATACTTCAAGCAAGAGATCTTGGATTGGTTTTATTTTAAACTAGATACCTAACTGCGTGGACTGATACTTAGGGCAATCCAAAAGTAGTGTCGTCACTATCTTATTTCCTTATAGTAAGTTCAAGGAAATTTTCGTTTTTGATATAGTGATACAGGAAAGAATGCTCTATTTCTCTATGCTATTTGATCATACTTCAACTAATATTATAATAGTAAAATTTCGATAAGATCTGTTTTGTTTGTATGTGTCCCGGTAGCATGAACGCTGATTTTAAAAAAAGACGGATGAGTATTTTTTGAATAACTTTTGACAGAAACAAGAGAGAGAGCTGCGGTCTTCACCGCTGGAAAGAGGAGATGATGACACATCGAATCATATATGACAGGGTTTCCTGACCTATTTTTTGTCAGGTTTTCAATTTACCTTTTTAACAGCAAACGTATCTGGTAAGGTGTTACCAGTGAATTTTTAATTATCAAGTGCAGATTCAAACCACTAATCGTAGATCTGTAAACTGCGGAAGGCTGAGATGAATAATATGTATGCTAGTCCACCCTCTAATACGATTTTCTACCAATTTCTGTGAAAAAAGTTTACTTTTCTTCTTTTTCCTTTTAACATAAAAAAAAAGTTTGTCGACAGTTAAAAAATTGAATAAAAATGTTTTCAGAAATCAATATTAGAAAAATCTGTAATACACAATTCGATGCGTCACCATCCCCTTTTTTCAGCGGTGAAAACCGCAGCTCTCTCTCTTGTTTCTATCAAAAGTTATTCAAAAAATACTCCTCTCGCGTTCATGCTACCAAGACATATGCAGACAAAACAGATCGTATCGAAGCTTGTTGGAGAGCTTTGTTGGTTTTCTAGAGACCTAAGGTGCTAAAAAAAACTCAAACCATTTGGGGTTTTCCAGAGATTCTTCATTTTCTAGAAAACTAAGACCTAATTCAAAACTCGACTCCTCAGTCCACGCAGTTAGGTGTCTAGTTTAAAATAAAACCAACCCGAGATCTCTAGCTTGAAGTATATTTAAAAAACGTGCTTCACACTATGTACGTTCGAACAAAAAACGTGTTTTGAGAGAAAACGCTGTGCATTTGTTCGTCTATTTTAAAACATGTAGGAATTTATTTGAATACCGTGGTTTTCCCATCACAGGTTTCCCTAGTGGTAGTAAAGCCACTATTTTTCACGTGGTTAGATTCGCTAGATGTTCAGCTTCAAAACTAAGAGAACAGGTTTTTAAAATTCCTTTTGGTTGCTAAGAAAAATCATTTTTTCTAAATCAGAGAAGAAAAAGTCGGATTTCTGCCAGTAGTTTCTAATTTTCTCGATCAGACCTCAACTTTTGAACAATAAAAATATCATATTCGCAATCATGATCAAAAACTGAGTCGATTAATGTGTATTTCTATCCTATCCGACTACTTTAATATTTTTCGAATTTTTACGTTGAAAAATTAGCGAGATTTTCACCCAACACTGAAAATCAACTAAAAATTTTGAAATACACATCAACTTTTAGTTGATTTTCAGTTTTGGGTGAAAATCTCGCTAATTTTTCAAAGCAGTAATTATATTTGATAAAAAACATGTTAATGTGAAAGTTTGACACTAACCAACAAAAATGTTTTGATATACTGATTTGGATATAGATTTTTTTAATATCTGAATCAGGATATCGAATTATATCCTGATCAAACCTGATCAAACCCTACCCCGTTCGAGATATTAAAAAAGTCTTCTATCCAACGGTGAATAATATGTTCCAAAACAAATTTCACTCGAACTTTGAATTACGTGCCTCTTATTTTCAATGATATTTATACAAAACTGCACAATAACATTTATTTTTAACGATACTCATACAGAATTGGGCCGTCATTCTCGAACTAAAGACTATTTTTTAAATCTGTGCTATAATTCGAATATTGTATGCAACGCATCTAGTTCATTCATACATTCATTTGTTCGTAGACGTTCATTTAAATGCTCAATATCTTCAGCGCATATTCTAGCCATACCATAACCAAAGGAAGATGTGAAAAATAACAATATGAGACCAAGTAAAATTACAGCACATTTCAATGTAATTGTTTACATTTTCTTGCAGCAAATGTTAGTCAACTCATTTTCAATTGTATTAAGTGAGAGGTTTGCGTGTCATTTTTTTCATTTTTTGTAGTCTACTAAAATCAATGAGTGATGGTAATAAGAATTTTGAATAGAGTCAAGACATTATTATCGTCTTTTAGCGAGAAAAGGCACCACAGACGAAAGGATTTCTTGTGGATAAAATCGTTATATTTGAGTTTGATCCAGAGTTATTGATTGGCTTTTTGGTAAAAAGAAAATGTCAAATGTTACGTTGTTCTACACAACATTTTACTTGATGACCATTGAGTTATTGCGTAGCCAATTTTAAAAATATGGTCAGTACTAGAACTAGAAATGAAACGGATAAAACGAAGAATAAACTACCGTCCATGAACCAAACGAACCTGAAGTTATTTATACGGCAAATAAGAAGAAAAGCAACAATTATTTTAATTCTAGCTTTAAATGCTGAAGCTAAAAGGTCTATGACTTCTTTTGCTTTTTAAACATTTTTTATTCACAAAATAACAGTAAAAAAGTACGACAACAAAACCGAAACGCATATACGGCAAATCGGGATACCCCATTCTATGCCGGATTCTACATGAACACTATAGAACAGAATGAGTATATAGAGTAGAGAGATTGTGGTAGTGTCGGTGAATAGAAAGAGAAATGGAAATTGACTTCTAAGACCCGCTCTATCCATGTGACATCCTGCTCATGAAGGCTTAGTACAGTGTGGAGACATATCCCGATCGAGTGTAAGTTACTTCTCAATCGGGATATATATCCTGATTTGGATATCTTTTTTTACAGCCAAAATTTTTTTAATATCTCGAACGGGGTATAGTTTGAAATTATATCATAATCAAAATATAATTCGATATCCTGATTGAGATATTAAAAAAAATCTATATCCGAATCAGGATATCAAAACATTTTTATTGGTTTTAGTGTAATTTCTAACTTTCACATTAACATGTTTTTCATCAAATCTAATTAGTTTGAAAGGGATATTGATCTATCAGGCAGTATAAATATAAATGAGTTGTAAGCAAGTTGTAATTCGCTCACAAAAAATATAAGGCAGTTTATCTGCACGAATCAGTAGTTGGAAAAGTCCCTGTTAAACATAAAGCACGTATACTTATATATTGTCGACGCATGAGACAAAAAATGTGTGTTTCAACATATGTGTGCATAGAAAAGAAAAATAAATAAAAAAAGATGGTCGATGTGGAAAGCAATTAGATCAAGAGTAATATCCCATTCTGGGCAGTGTACGTTAACCGCCTATTTCTCGATCGGGATATAAATTCGACTAAAATTTGATAAAAATTTTTATTCGAAAATATAGTTGCTGGACGCTTGATACACTTTTAATCAAACACAACAGAATCCGATGTAGTTTTTTCAGCACTTTCTAATGGTGACGCCAATTTCTTCCCATAACTGCGTCATATTTCCCTTAATCGTTTTTACGATGAAATTTTGTGTTTTATATCACAATCGGGATATAGGAGGGAATACCCTTACTGTAATACATCATGACTGATTGAATCTTCCACTGATATCAATAAATTGGATGATGGCTGTGTACACTCGTATTAGGTCTTGCTTAGGCAGTACTCGGATAGATTCATGTTACAAAAGTATATGCTCCAATGTATATGACTTCTATGATGGATAAAAAAGTGCTCTGCTGACCTTCTGCTAATAAACATTCTACACATATTTGTTTATACAATTTGTTTATCATTCTTTTCCTTTAGATACTCTCTCTTTCAACGGATGAATTTTCCGACGTATATGGAAAGTAAAAATTTCTTCATTATATCCAAAAAAGTTAGTTTTATGATCTGTTCCAGCCAGTCAAGTTCAATTAAAGTTTATCTGTTAATTTAAACTTTCATTTATTAAACAACAATTTACAACAAAACTCAATTATAATGTTGTGTATAGTTGAACAATTTTTAATGTAAACATTAGTAAATAAGGTGCACGCTCTGCACCAGACTAAACTTGATGAAACTAAGGTTGTATATGCAGAATTTCAACGCGAATCCGACCGAGATGTCATAAGGCTGGAAAACGTCTTAAAATATTTATCAGATTTTTCTCTTCAATTTAAGGTGCCCCGCGACGCTCTATGCAGCCAGTTTAGGAATAGTAGGCAAAATACTGAAAGATCGTTACGGAATTCTGTTACGGAAGCAGAGTTAGCTGGCCACGCCGAAGAATCAAATATCTAAAATATTAATAATTTTTTGTTAGAGATTATCAGGTTTTTTTTTCACAAGGAAAAATCATTTCTATTTGAAGTAAGACATACGTTGATTTCTTATTGTTTTCTGCAAAATACTCTTGCTACAGAACAACAACAGGACAATCCCATTATAATATAAGACACAATTAGCAACCAAAATGTAAAATT